AACGTCTGGTAGAATGAACTGATTAATTGGCTTGTAACAAAGAGGAACACCCTCCCGTTTTCTAATGGCACCTTGAGCCAAAATCAATTACTTCAACCATCCACCTTAATCTCGAGTTTCAGCAGCGTTTCCTGGTTGTCTCCTCAGTTGGCCTTGAGAGACAACATTTGCTTTGTTCTAAACTAGCTCAGTGGATGAAAGAAACTCCAGAAGATGTTCTTTCCTTTGTTTTTTTACCCAAAACTGTTTTTTTTTGTACATGGGGAACTTTTAAAATATTATTAGTGGTCGATTAGGTGCCTTTGCTTTCTTACATTCTCATCAGTTTCATCAGGAATATTATTATAGTACTTATTTAATCATTATCCTTATTATTATAATTTTTTAGTATTACTATTATTACTATTACTATTATCATTATCATCATCATTGTTAAGTCATTTCAAGATTAAAATATAACTTATTACATAATAATCCTGACTGGGCTGTAATGCATTTATAATTATGTGAAAAATATATTTTGAATTAGCTCGTGATACTTTTTTCTATCCTATTTTTTTCCATCATTTTGGAATCCGTAATGAACCAGTTGTATTTTACTTAAATTAGGAGTAACCATTCATGTTTTGTATTGTTATATTTCTATTTTCAAACAGTATAAATATATTTATATAAAGTGTTTATCTTTGCTTTTTTAATCCATCATCTCTCACTTTTTCCCAAAAAATGCAAATGTACAATAAAAACACAACTATGATATCATCAGTACAAGGTAACATAAAAATAAAATATCTTTCTGCTTCTATTTTTTTTTCTCCTTTTTGAACAATCAGTCTCCAAAATTCGTGAAAGAAATTTCAGTATAATAATAATAAAAAAAAACAAGAATTCTTTATCAGATCATAAAATACAACCACAGCATGTGAGCAAATTTCCCTATGCATTCATACAATGTCCAAATATGGAAATAAAAGGAGGGGAAAAGAATTAAAGAAATCGAACATTATCCCCAAAAATTCAGAGCATTAACCAAATCACTCGACGAGGGCAAACAGAAGTGTCATAAGGTGTTATAACATCAATTTCATTAACACTGGTATAGGCACTAATGGCAACACAGCACAATATGCTACATTCCGGCTTTATATATTGTAGTGGACATTATTCACATAGTATACTCAATGGTACTGATGGTGATGATGATTACACTTCTGATAATGATAATAATATTAATAATAACGATGACAATGAGGTTTATCAAAATAAAAGTAATAACTAACAAAGAAGTGAATAAAAGTAATAATAGTAATAATGATAATAATAATTATAAATATCAATATCAATACTAATATTAATGTAATATTAATAACAATAATGATATCAATAATAATAAAAATAATAATTACTATTATTATTTGTATCATTATTATCATAATTATGAGTATAATAATAATAACAACAATAATAATAATAAAAATAATAAAAATAATAATAATAACAATAATAATAATAATAATATAATATAATAATAATAATGATATGATGATTATGATGATGATGATGATGATGATAATAATAATAATAATAATAATAATAATAATAATAATAATAATAATAATAATAATAATAATAATAATAATAATAATAATAATAATAATAATAATAATAATAATAATAATAATAATAATAATAATAATAATAATAATAATAATAATAATAATAATAATAATAATAATAATAATAATAACAACAATAATAATAATGATAATAATAATAATAATAATAATAATATAATAATTACAAAAAAAATAAAATAATATCTAAAATACTGATAATAACAATAATAATAATAAAAACCGTAATAATAACGATATCATTTATAATAATAATTACAAAAATCATAATAAGCTGATAATAATAGTAGTAATTATAATACCAACAGTAATTATATTATTATTATCATTATCACTCTCACTATTACTATTACAATTATTATTATTACTATTATCATTATCATAATTATTTTCACTATTATCATCACTATCATTATCATTATCAAAATCATAATCATAATTATAATCATCACCATTATCATTATCAATTACCATTATTTCTATTATTATTATTATCATTATCATCATTATTATTATTATTATTATTATTATTATTATTATTATATTATTATTATTATTATTATTATTATTATTAATATTAATATTATTATTATTATTATTATCATTATCATTATAATCATTATTATTATCAATACCATTATCATCATCTTCATCAACATCATCATTATCATTACCATTATTATTAATAATGGTAATAATATTAGTAATAATAATATTAATAAGAACAATATTGATAATAATAATAATAATAAAAAAAAAAAATAAAAAATAATAATAATAATAATAATAAAACAAATAAAAAAATAATAACAATCATAAAAAAATAATAACAATGATAAATAATAACAATAATAATAAAATACGAGACCAAATAGCTGAATAAATTAAAAGAACACAAAATGAAAACAATGAAAACAGTAATATCATAACCTTGAAATCAATCTATAAACATCAAAAATCCTTTCTTAATAAATATCTTTATTTTGCTTTTTACAGCATGACAATATCTATTACCTAAAATAACCATAAACATTACATATACATTATACATTCTTTTTAATGAAACAATATAGAAAATATATCTAAATCTATATTCATAACATGTTTGGTTATAAAAGAAAAATTTGTAAGCTTAGTTCAACAAACCTGATGCGATTCTTAAGTCAACATTGCCAGACCATCACAGTAATAAATCCAAAAGTTTTAATAACTTGGTTAGAATTGCAATAACATTACAATGGGTCAAAACATCTATCAAAACGCATTCTTTTGCTGGTGCCTCACAAACAAACACACACACATGCATACACAGACACACACACACACACTACACAAACAAAACATGTCCTTCCCTAAAAACTGTGGCTAAGGACACTGGCCACATGACAATACTTGGTAAAACCCTTATCCCATAGACTGCTTTTTATCATTTTCCTTTTTCTTCTTTCTTTCTTTTTTGTCTACCATGAAGAGTGACAAAAGGTTCAGATCTAAAGATTTTTTACCCTATTCAAAGTATATAAGACTACCAGAAAAAATTACTTACCATATATGAAATGAAAATATCAATACTTACATCAGTTTTGGAATTTAATCATACAATCAATCAGTATGAATTTAATATCTACTGTAATCCTGTCATGACAAGTTGGGGTCTTGTGACCAGTTGAGAAAACTGCTATAAATATTGATGTGACTCAATAAATCATGTTTTAGGTATGAGAATACTGTAAGACTAGTGACTGTATAGCTTTATATTTTTCAAATAATTGTACATACATGCATACATACACACATACATACTGATTAGGATTCCTTTTACATGCATATGAGTACACATATACAGTATATAATATGTTTAAGTATCCATGTGTATGGTTTCACGTGTATTTGACACTGATTAAGCATATCAAAACATGTAAGGCTATTTTGCATTTATATATGCTTGTTAACAATTACGTGTTGCTAAACACAAGTGCACACACCCATCCCATGATATACAAAATAATAAATCAACCAAAACCCCTAACACTTTTGCCTGCAATATGAAACTAAAACATACCTATACCAATAAAAAAGAAAACTGAAGAAGAAGAATAATAAATTATTATTATAAAGCCTATTTTGCCAGTACTGGACAATGGATACTACATCAAGGCACTTTTGTTATAGACTTCTCAAGCCAAAAGCTCATTTCTCAGCTAAGTGCACCCTAATCCCACTCACGTCACACAAGTCTTTAAACCCTTTAAAAGAAGAAAGATTTGATAACAGTGTAATTAACGGATATTATGAATGTGTAAAAGATAACCAAAAAAAGAGAGGCAGAGAGCTAAGCAGTCTTTAAGGCACCTACATAATTACATCACATCAAACATCAGCTATGTGCCACTTTACATTTTTTTTTTCTTTCTTACATTTTTTTCCAAGTTCCACAACCCAGTGTTCAAAGCTGGTTTCCAACTTCTTACTCCAGTGTGTTTAGATTACAGTACACAAGTTAAAAGCTCAATGCCATCAGTTCAATATAATAATGTGTTTTCTAAACTGAAACAGGACTGACACTTTAAAGAGGCAGAATGAATTTATGAGTTGTGTTTGCATGATTGCATTTGCTTGCATGCTGGTTTTTGCATCATTAGCACACAATGTGAATGTAATGTGATGCGTTACAATGGGTTTAATGTGGTGTTATGCTATGTATTTAAAAAATGGGAAATATCTTATCTCTATGCATAAATATCTTTATAAACATGCATCTGAGCACACACACATGCACATAAGCTAGAAATCCACATTCCACTTTGAATAAGCTGCCAATGCATGTCCCTTGACAGGATATATTTACTCAAGCGGATTCTGAATAAAAATTCTGTTGTCTAACTATATATTGCTAACGCATTTTAATTCAAACAATCACCCACACTTCTATTCACACAAGGACAAAAATATTCACATAAAATAAAACAAAGTGAACGAGCAGACTTAAAAAAACAGAAGGAACTTTAACACACCCATACATAATCTGTATTAGATATAGGCTATACCTGTGCTTTCATGAGATTAATAAAAATAAAAAGCTGATATCAGTACACCAACGGAGTAAACACAAAAGAATAAAAGGTAAACATACTTGTGAAACATGCAAAATAAATAAATAGATAAATAAAAAATATATGTATATGAGTAAACACATGTAAATTTATTTAGCTTATCAATTATGACATTAAAGATATAAAAATGGAAAGGGGAAAACATGCATAAAGTAAGTTATACACAATGACTCGACTACAAGCCTAATACTTTAGATATAAACAAATTGTATATACACAATCTAGTTCTACTTTCATAAATATAACTTCACTGTCATGAAAACATACATGATTCAGAAAACTATGATGGGTAGTACCTGACATAGAAAATGGTTAAATTCAATCATGACTCTCCTTAAAAACTATAATGGAGTGTAAAGCCTCTTGATAAAGAACTGGAATACTCTGCACCATCACAGCACAACTTGTAAATGAAACCCAAACTTAGCTTTACAAGTATTCACTCATATTCTCTGAAGCTGCAAATGAGGTAACGTAATTTCATGATGTACACTGATAGTGTTAATGTAAATTTATCTAGTATACACAGCAGTCATAGCTACTGTATTAGAAACCAAGATGTGACACTATGTAGGAGACAGAGACATGACTCATTGCTCATTTCTTTTAACAGCAAAACAACCCTATACTGTGTTTTCTAAACCATCATATCATTTCCATTCAATGTTACGAACAAGTTCTTCTGTCTTTGTTGGAGAGGAAGATGGGGTCAGTCGACTTTCAGGCTTTTTCTCTCCCTCATTTGTTTTTGTAGGGGATGGGGTAAGCTTCACCAGGCCTTCTGTCTTTTTCTCACTCTCACTTACTTTAACTCCAGCCTGTGGCTCAGCAGCTTCACTAGAAATAGCAGCAGCACCTACTGCAGTGCTGTCTTCACCCTTCCCCTCGCTGACTTCAAGCTTTGAGGGCCTCTCCTTCCCAGATTCTGGTTCAGGCAGTTCACTGGCTGCATCTTTGGGCTGGTTCTCAATTTGAGCATCTTCATCTTTATTGGATTTTGAATCCGATTCCTTCTCAACACTTGTTCCCTCTTCATCAATGGTGATGTCATCATCAGCACTCACTTCCTTGCCCACTTCAATAGGACATTCCTCTGTTTCAGCATTATCCTCCACAATGCTGCTCTCCTTCTCCTCATCCCCTGCCTTGTCCTTACCAGCTGCCTCACTAACTGCCTCACCATCAGCCACCCTGGGACATTCTCCTTCTTGTTCTGTATTCTCCTTGACATCCTGCTCGTTATTCTTACCTGGACTTTCATCCTTACTTACCAACTCTTGTTCTGACTGTATAGCACATTCTTTCGGTTCACTTTTGACATCCAAAGTTTCTTTCTCTTTCCCTTCATTCTCATCTGTGTTCTGCTTCTCTGCTTCCGGCACATCAACAGGTACAGGCTGAGATTCAGGTTCATGATCTTCCTTGTCTGTTCTGGCCTTAGAATCTTGTTTGCTGTCTTCCTCTTCAACTTTTCCCTCTTCTCTCTGAATTGGAGCAGATTCTACTTCTGCTGGAAGATTTTCCTTGATCTCTGTGGCCCCTAAATCTTCCTCAGTTTCTTCCTCTTCCCCTTTCAACTCCTCCTCTTCTGCTTCATGGTAATCTTCTTCATAATATTCCTCTTCTGCTTCCTCATAAACTTCTTCATCTTCATAATCATCTAGCTCCTCTTCTTTTGCTGCATCTTCACTGCCTTCAAAATTCTCCCCAATTTCCTCTTGCAATAGGCCACTTTCCCCCTTTTCCTTCGACTCAATCTAATGCCAAAAAGAAAAGGAAAAGAAAGAAAATTGTGAAATAAAACTACAAAAAACAAATTCATTCAAAATACCTATTCTCTTGAGTTTCTTCCTACCATCACAGGCATTTTGAATAGTTTGTTACATATTAACTGTAAAATGTTGGATCACTTAAATAATTAGTCTTGGCATAGAAAGTCTACTGCCAATTAACTTATTTCAAATTAAATTATATTTGGAAAAGGAAAAACAAAAGAAAAAAATCTTTTTGCAATCACAAGAATCTGTAAAATGATAGTCAGATAATCAAAATACTTATTTGATCTTTTGCCTTCTAATTAGACATTGCCAATTTTAATATCATTCAATTTATGACTTCAAAAAGTAAACTCAAGGCACACAGAGCTAAATCCATGACTGAAAAGTAACATTTATTAAAGAAAAAAAAAAAATCCTCAACAAAATACTGTAGTTCTCTATTTCTAAAAATCTGTTTCCTCTTGGTATCAGGACTTCATTCTTTCTTCTCAATACAAACCATCAGAAAAATAAAGTGCATGTTTTGCATCACCCCAGCCTTAGAATCAACTCACATACACACTATATAGAAAGCTCATACGCAAAGTGCATGAGCCTTCATGAAACGTCACCTGATGGCAACAACGCATCTCATTAGGCCAAGGAGAAGAAATGCAACTGGAATATATAATGACAAACTGACAACTACTAACTGTGCAGGTATATCACTATCATCTCTATTTTAGCTCCAAATATGCCACCTACTGCAGCTTATGCTCCTGGAGAATGTATGACCAAGTATGAACCAATGCACTTATCATTATCAAAATTTATTTGACTAATTTGTCTGGCAGCCAAATACAGCCTGTGACTGGCTAAGCTTCTTTAGGTTCTAAAATTGCAAATATTTATTGATATTATTGTAGCACATGGTGAACATCATACTGAAACCATTACCCATAATGTGCTATCAGTATAATTTTGTTAAACAGAGAA